TGGAAGAAAGGTATTCTACTCAGAAAAACATTCTGCAATCAAATTTTTTAAGAACTGACATGACAGCTAGCAGGAGCTAATACTTCCTAGCTAGTAGTCATTACCTAAAGTATTTGTAAGATTCAAAGAATAGCCAAAAGAATTAACTACCAAATATATTCGGTAGTTTAAAAACAAAACAAAAAAACCTTATTAGGTGACATCCTCTTCCATTTACATGTATGCATCACACCAGCTGTGGTATCCCAAAAGAAGCCAGAAAACCTAAACAAAAAGCTAACCTATTTCTAAAATATTTGTATATACTAAAAAATCATGACCAAGTTATCTTGCCAAACATTTTTACTTTTTCTTGAAAGAGAAATATATAATTGGATCAAAAATATGCATAAGTGGGCTTTTAGGCAGCCGGAGACAACCATCTCATCAGGCACCAGAGCAACCTGCACAGCAGACTTTCCATCTGAACTGCTAACTGCTAAAAATGTCATGTTTTCCACTAACACCTAGCCAGGTTCTAAAAGAAACTCGTGAGCAATGTGTTAAACAATAGAAAATGGAATATCCCAAATAAATAAGGAAATGAAGTTGTAATTAAGACAGTAAACTGCATGGTGATACATTTCTATCCACAGCTTGTGTGACAGAAGTCATTAAAAAGAGAGTTTCCCGTCTGACAAATAGATCTTTAAAAAGATCTTCAGCCTCTTTAAAGCAGAAAAAATATTTTCAGTATTTTCAATTCTGTTCCAGAATAAATCTGACCTACAAATTCCTAAGAAGCAGAAGAGAAAAAAGCAACTCCATACACTTCACTTCTAGAGTGGATCTGAAATATGGACAAAACAGAAGAAGCTGCAACATTTACACTGGTCAAGCAGCCACCTGAAAGTCTCCAAACCCACATTTTTCTCCCAGCTTTTATGTAATGTTTACTGGATGCTAACCATATGTTATGCATCCAAATGGCCTGATCTGCTAAGAACCACATACCCACAAGTACTACAACAGGAAAAACAAAGCTTAACTCAAGCAATCAGCAAAGTCAAAATAATCATATAATATCCAGAGAGCTGCCAGCTGTGGCAAGTAACACTTAACAATTCAAGAAAATGAAAACTCACCAACTACCTCAAGTGGGATGAGTCTAAGCACATGTAACATAGTTTTACCTACGACTACTTTCATTCCATGTTTATATTGCCTTAGATTATGAATTATTATTTCCTTGCACAGATGGCCTGAAAGAAGCAAAATGACCCAACTCCTCAGGCTGTAGTTCTAGAAAAGGAGTAGAAGTGAAGATGCTCAACAGAGGTGTAAAAAATAGATTTTCCAAAAAGATCAAGATTTATTTCTGTCACTCAAAGGATGTGTCTTGTCACACAAGCTAGCAAAAGCAAATTGCATCTACAAACCATGGCAAAGCTCTGAAGATGATGAGGATAAAAAACAGGAGTCTTCTGCAGAAAAGATAAGGTGAAAGATATTCAGAAGTAGAGTTTTCAAATAAAACACATTCTGAAATAGTTATGAAATAAATTATGTAAGTTATGCAAGTAACATCTGTATCTAAATGAGAACTGCTCTTCCAAACCATCATATTCCAATGGAAATCAATGCATCGATACATTTGTGTATGTAAAAACACACATATATGATGCACTAATTTAGAACTGATACTAGCTTTAAAAAGCACATTAAAATTTGTCCTACAAAACCTCCATTGCAGATGGAAATTAAAAAAAAAAGTTTCATAACCTGTAGCTCTCTTTCAAAGTATAAAAGAAAAAGCAAACAAAGAGCAACTAAATAAAAATCTAAAGTAGTGAATTTTCATGTTATTGATTTCATGCTTCTTCAAAAGATCCTGCATGCTATATATACAGCTATACAGCCAGGTACAGCATTAAGGTTAACATAATTTCAGCATGGCCTGCAGACTGATAAATTAGCCACCTGTCACTTTCTTAACTCTAAATTTTTAACTTAACAACTTAATTTTTTTGTCTCGATCTCACCAGTTGAAGGTTGGGTCAGATCTCTCAGTCTTCACATTCCTAGCAGCAATCAAGGAGGAAAAAACCACAACACTGATGTAACACAACAACATCGTAAAATTCTAGGTTTTCATCTATTTTCTAGCACATGCATAATACAAGTTGTTGTCAACGGAGATATGAGAACCAGAGAAGGCTTCTCAGAAATTTAAAGGTGTTAGGAGCCACAGTGCTGCACTTCACATTTTGAGTTGTCTTCCTGACTTATGTGCAGACATGTAAATCATTTAACCAAGAGAACATAATACCCAGCACAGTGGTCCCAATACGTGACCACTAGCAAAGTGCACTGCTCATTTTCTTTTGCTGACTTGAAATATCACACAGTAGAAGGGGACTTAAACTCAGATTTCTGTTCCTTCTTTTCCTTCCTTCACACTTCCTTGCATGTTTTAACACCTTTATTGGCACAGCTTGCTTTACACAGTAGGCAGCATGAGAAATCCCCTGTTTAACAAGCCGAAGTTTTCCCAGTTTTGCAATAATCTGTAAATAAAAAACCTGGTCCTAGCAAAGCAGGGGTCCACTGCAATATCTACCAGTGAGGAGTAGAAGACCATGTATATACAATAAAAGGCTTCTGAAGCTTCAGAAGTTGCAGCTAATAGTGATCTTGTACTACAGGCTGCTATCTCTGTGGAAGCACTAGAGATTATTTCCATCACCATGCCAGAATACCTGTTGCTCTGCCACAGCTCTGCAACTCCAAGAGCAGGAAGAGTCTCCCTCAGACTAGTTACCGGCCCGACCTGTAGAGTGAAATAACTGATTCTCTGCAACCATTAATTTACTTCATTAGAGGTACAAAAGAGAACTATGCCCAATTTATATGCAGTTTACATATGTTAAAATGCAGATATCTAATCCTAATTCACTGCTCCTTCGAGTCCAAATAATGGAACTCTTTATTAATAATACTCAGTTAAAAGCAGCATATACAAATATCAACTGATTATAAGCTCCTGAAGTATCATGATTAAAAATCTCTGCCCTGAAACACATTTAATACATGCATTAATGTTTTATCCAACCACATAGCTATGCCAGCATCTATACAGCATTATAGGCTTCCATTATTAGATACACCACACTACAACAGTTATCCATCACAGTGGTTAAGGAAAGTGGTTAAGGAACACCCAGTTTGGGGCTACAAAATAATAAATAAATAATAATTAAAAAAAAAAAGAGAGGCAGGGCCAGCACCAGGATATCCTGCACAGTATCTGCTCTGCAACAGACATAAGGAAGGATCATTCTATCAAGTGTGGTCACACACAGAGGCAGCATCTGCCTGCAGTTCAAGCAAGTCACACAAACGCCTCCTGCCCAAGCAGCAGAATGTGTCCGGTTCTGCTTCCTAGTGTTCCGACAGACATGCAGCAACAGGTTAAACTTGGAAAACACAAAATGCCTAACCCTCTGCCTTTCCTCTGTGGGAAAGGGTCTGCACTCATCAGTGAATCACCTCCTAGACTTTCTAAAGTATTGTAGTAAAAGTGTAAACAAGGGTGAAATAATCACCTCGACATACTGACTGGAACACTGCAATACTTGAGGAGCAGAACAAACGTCCTGGGACCACGGTAATAACTGTAGTTATTTAGAGGTGCAGGTTGACAATATTGCTGCTGAAACCACAATAATTAACCATTGCCTTGGTCTCCTCCTGCCTTGGCCTGCTCTCCTGCAACAAGTGCCCCCATTGCCTCTGTGCATGGTGGGTCAAACCAAGGAGCAAGGACCAAACCAAGAGTCCTTCCAAGAAACTCCCTGCAGGTTTATAGCATAGTGCTACTCCCAAGAAGTCAAGCATCACTGCTGCTAAAGACAAGCCCAGGAGCAGAGGGAAAGAGGTTCTCCCCCCTGTTTTTAGGAGCAGCAAGCCAAGAGAAGGGCTTAAACGTCTTGTGGAAGGGCAACCTCCATGTGCTACCGCCTGTTTATCAGCCCAGAGCCCAGAGAGGCTGCTCACCCAGAGAAGCCCATGGGATGCAAGCAGCTCCCCTCCGCAAGAGCGGCTTCGCTAGGCCAAACTGTTGTTCTGCATCAGCCTCCCAAGTGGAGGCTGAAGAACTGGTAATAACACCATACCAAAGTCTAATTCAAAACGGCTATGATTAGAAACCTGACGCAGAAAAGCATAAAAGCACAGCTATACACAGAATAGTGGCTGAAATACTCAAGTTTTAACCACTACTAGCTAGTTGCACAGAATAAAAACCTGATGTTTTCAGATGACCTACAGCACGTGGACCAGAGCAAGCAGACAGCGGGCCGTAACGCGACTCAACTCTGCCCACTCCTTTGGGCATTCAAAAACTTTTCTAAAAAGGCGCTTTATGGCCCTGCAGCAGCAAACATTTCCGTGCACGTTCGGGCTAAATTGGGAAAGCTTCGAGCCTCTGAAGAGTACTTCTAAAAGCACCTCTATCGCTGCTTTTATCGCGTAGCCAGGGGCAGATAACGCCACGGGGGTGAAAACAACGTTCCTCAGAAACGGCTACGGGGCCGACAAGTACTTTGTGAATAACGCTTTGGCGAAGGGCACCCCGGAGGGGGGCAGGCTCCGAGGACGGCGCCCCGAGCTCGGGGTTGAGCCGGTGCCCCAGCCCCTCGGGGACACTCGGGGACACGCGGAGGGCGGCGAGCGGGACGGCGGGAGGCGCCAGCGCCGCTAACGCCAGAACGCGGCGGCGGGAGAGCGGCGAGGGGCCGCCCCGGCCTCCCGCGCCGAGACCGGCGCCGCCGGAGCCGAGGGTGGCGGGCGGACAAGGGAAAGGGCCCGCGGGCTTCCCGCCGGGCCCGCGCCCCGCGGCGGCGGGCGGGAGGGGGCCGCTCGCCCCGCGCCCTAACGGCCGCTCCCCCCGCAGCCTAATGGCCGCAGCCCCCGCGCGCGCGCGCCCGCCCCAACGGCCGCGCGCCAACCGCCGCCCGCACCTTCCGACAGCTCCAGCTCCAGCTCCGCCAGGCTCTCGCGCACCTCGGGCGGCAGCGGCACCGCGTCCAAGGGCCCGCAGCCCCCGCGCTCAGCGGCCATGGTGCGGGGAGGTGTGTGGGGGGGGAGAGACAGGCCAGGAGCGAGCGGGCGCCGCCCGAGCCGCCGCCCAGCGCGCGGCCTCAGGTAGGCAGGCGCGGAGGAGGGCAGGGAAGGAGGCAGGCGGCCCCCGGCCGCGGCGCGCGCGCGGGGC